ATCATAAGAAATATATATATTTCTCTAGAATATGTCCTAATGATTTTAGTTGGACTAAAGCATGATTAATGTAGCCAGGACCCAATCCTTGGCCAGAATCCTGTTGCCCCCTTCTGCATGCACAGCACTGTGTTGTACTACCAGAAAGACTCTACTGGAGATTATGCTGTGTGCTTTTATGTAAGGAGACATCCTGTAATTCTTACTGAAAATGTATGCTCCATTAAAAACATCCCTGGCTTGCAGAATGGCGAGCTAGAGATCAGAGGGGCTTCATGGGTGGTGAAAAGAATATGGGCCTTTATCTTTAACTGTTGGCAAAAATAAAGAGGAAAAAGAAAAGAAAGGCAAAAAATGGCACTTTAGAGAAGCAGATTTTTTTCACTGTGAACTTTCTTGTATCAAAATCTACTTCTTAGACCCTGACTACCAAATGTAAAACTAGTCCTAATGGCTGTGATGTATATATACTTGCTCATTATAGCCCAAGCCCAGAGGCAAAGGAACATTTGGTTGCTTTCTGAAAGTACTGCAGAATTAGCTTAATAAATGTGCTCCAACCAGTTTAGAATTGGTTTGGGCTCTGCGGCTGTGAATTTTAAATCATTCTAGCTATATGAGCAACATGAAAAAAATCAGAAGAAGACTGAGAGCACAGTCTGGTCATATAACAACAACAAAAAAAAACCTGGAATTTGACCTGTGCTAAAAACCATGCTGAGTTTCATGTTCACACAATGAATTCCAAAGTGTGTATTTTTCTCTATACTTTCCAGAGATTCAGGTTTGCTTTCCACAACAGGGAAGTTGCATGTAACTCACATATATATGGTTTATAGCTGTACATTTCCATTGAAATGGTGCTCCAGATAACTTTGTTACACAAAGTCTTTCTTTAGTGCTTGGAAGCAGAAAGCGAAACAGCACTAATGAGCAATTCTGCTCCACTTACACTTCTTTGGATCCAGCACCATATCAGCTGAAATTGATATATGACGTTCAGAAACAAAGGATTTTATAAAATGAAATAAAGCTTGGAGAATGTCCATACATTATTTATTTTGATGTCCTTTATTTTGCTCTCAGCACAACATGGGAGGGGACAGAAAAGAGAGGTTTATTCCACAGGTATTGTGAATACTAATCCAGAGTAAGAGTGGAGAGGAGAAGTGGGCATTAAATATTTCATGCAGCTACATTTCCTAAATAACATTGAAATGTTTTAAGAAATCTCTGTTCACTTCAATCAGATGTCAAAACTTCTTTTGTTCAGAAAGAATTTTGTTAGTTTCTAAGGTTTCTTTCATTTAATAATGAAAAATAGGTCTCCATATGCCTTGTGCATCTCTGTATTTGTAATGGGAGCCAAACCAAAAGATAGAGCATTCGATATTTTTAAGCTGAAGTGGATGGTTTGAATTTTATTTTATTTTTTTTTTTATTTTTAGAAGTAACCCTCGGGTGTTAATGATTAGCCTATAGCATTCCTCTGTCTATTGTGTTAGCATCAATTTATCTTCACCTTGCCTATTTGATAAATTCCTTCAGCTACCAAGTATGTTCATATACATCACAGATCTTGGAAATGTTACTTCTTGCAGCTTCATGAGTCAATGAGATGTACAGAACTGTTACAATTCAGCAATTGATTCAGTGGGTTCAATCTGTTTGGGACTAGCAGTTGGCTTTAGGCCATTGACTGCGATTCCCAGAACCCCTCAGCCAGCACAGGAAAGATAATGCAAAATGTTTCTAAGCTCTGCTGTGCCAGGGTTGGTCAGCTTCAGCTCCAGATGTTGCTCACATGAAACTACCATTGGCCATATTCAACACAGCCAATGGTGAGGATTTGGGAATCTGTAGTCCCAAAACAGGGGCAGAGCTGCACACCCCTGTAGATCCAACACACATTCATTTTGACACAATTTTATATATGGCAAGGATGAACAAATCTGATCTATAGTTTCCTGCTGGAGAGAATGTTATTCCTTGAGCCAAATCAAAGAGCTAGAAGATGCTATACTGTAAAATAATTAAAATTGAAATTGTTGTTACAGCATTGGTTGCAGTAAGTGTCAGTATGATCATAGGGCCCATAATATCACCTAAGTACTGTAGTTTGAGAGTCAATTGATTATGTGACCATTTCAATGTTCTTCCAGTAACAGAGGAATTCTGAAGTCTTATAGAAGGAATTGAGTTACAATGTCATGAGAACATCAGAACAGACCCTTGGATGTCACGTGGAGACGTAGGCTTCATCTGTCTTATACTTCAAATTGCAATTACTAATCCTTGTAGGTTACACCACTATGTACCATATAGGACTATATTAGGCAACAGCAGTCTATGAAGCTTTAAAAATGTACCAAACCATTAGACAATAGAGGGATGATTAAGTTTTTCTAGTTTTTATTGGGCTTCTTCATTCCCCTGAAATAACTGAGATTGCACAATGGAGCACGTTCAACACTCTTAGTTACTGTGCACTATCAGAAAGAATCACCAGCTTTTCAGCTTTTTCTCTATTGTTTGTCATGAGAAAACGTCTACTAACTTCCAAAGAACCTAAGAACTATAATCTCTTTTAAAAATCTACAAATTGTAAATTTTAAAAATACAGGTAGAACAGGTATTATTACATCAATGTGGAAACAAGCATATCCATAGCAACATGAGCTTTTCCTCAGAAAACATCTTAGTAACTGCCTGTTGATGTTAAAGCAGAACTGCTTCTCTCTCTCTCTCTCTCTCTCACACACACACACACACACACACACACACACACACAGGCACATCTGGTTTAGAATTTTTTTATCAGAATCTTTATACTGGATTAAATCAGCCTAAGGCAGTTAATGGGGATATGAAATAGCTGCATACAGTGGTGATTTCTACTATTTCTGTCATCAATGTCCACCTACAGTACTGTCAAATGATGATGTGACAACAGACAAAGTGATCTATAGCCAACTGCTAGGGTGTGTTAGTGACTCAAATGAGAAAACCTGAAGTGTAGCTTTTGGCCTGCTTTGGCCTGTGAACAAAAGAGATACTTTTTTTCTGGTATGCTTTACTTTGTCTGGAGCTATGGGACTGGTGAGCATGAGGACTCCATACATGACATTCTTCAGATAATATCAAAAGATGAAAGGCGAGTTCTGGTCATAATATCCCACATCTCAGGAAGAATTTAATGTATCAGATGTAACTACAGATGTGCCTTTCTCTCCTTAGGAAGAAACTTCTACCTTTGCCTATTGGCGACTTCCATGGAGATATATCTGTTGGATGCTTAAACCCTTTCGGTACTGATGAATTAAACATGGCATTCTACATTCTACAACAATAAAAGAAAATAGTTATACCTGTTAAAAAGACGTCCACCACTATGTCTTCTAATGTAGGATTCTTGAAGTTTATGATGATAGAAGAATGATGTCCAAGGCAAGAACTGACACTAGCTGGTTCCATTGGCTGAGGTATCAGTCCCACTCCAGACAAGAAAAATACCCATTCCTCAAGCTGTAGAAAGAATGGAAATACTCATATTTTAATTTGCAACCTGCCATAAGCTGTTTTCACCCTTCATATTCCTAGAAAAGGTGAGGTCTTGACCAAGTGATTCAAGTGATTCTTGTACAAATATAAGAGCATTAATGCATAAGAGGACTGAAGAGAATCACATTGCTAGAGAATTCTTCCTGTGGAGATTTGCTTTAAATGCATTATATGACTTTCTATGTAATGACAGAGTAGAAGATTATGAGACCTATATATAGGTGTTAAGGAATTCAAGATACAAAGATGTACACTGTTTTCTTTTAGGTGCCAATTTGTTTGATGACCTGAAAAGCAGCCCAATTCATCTCAGAATGATTCAGAGGCCTTCTGATTCAACTTGGGTCCCACAATTGAATCTAATTCAGAAATTCAAACCTTCAAGCATTGCATTCACAGCATTCCTCTCTCTGCCCCAACATATACAGCCACTGTCAGAACTGGTTGGCAGCTGCAGACACTGTAAGCCCTTGTAAGGGGATTTTGCCTAACCAATATCATACAAGTAAGTCCAGGGAGCTTTGTCCTAAGCACTTTTGCATTTTAAAGGAATTGCCAATAACTTTCTAAGTGAACTTTCCAGGGATAGTTGCCTTTCTGAGATAAAAAAGGAAATATTGTGGATGCAGTGACCTTTCTATGTTTCTTAGGAACAACTCTTATTAAAATGAAATATAGCATACTAGTGTCCTTGCTTAAGAAACCTGAAAACATTCAGAAGGGTAAGTGTAGTATTTTTTTGTGTGGAAGGGGAGTGTTCAAATAACTTCCATCCTTAACCTCCTTTATGGATTTCTTGTCAATTTATGTGAAAATGATGTAAATGTAAGACATCTACATAGTCAAGAAACAGGAACGTTTCAGAAGGATAGGTGGGGGCAGGGTTTCGAGCAGCACTGCCCATCTGGTACCCTCCAGATATTTTGAGATTACAGCTTCTTGGGTTCTTGACCATAAACTGTGTTGTCTGTGGCTGAGCAGAACTGCAACGCAGAACATCAATATTATATGAGTATGAGGGAGATGGTCTTGCTGTTCCTGGTGGGACAACTGCTAGGAATTACACCCATGGCAGACCTCATGGGGACCCCCAGTGCAGACTGGCCTGATGGCACAGAAGGTGAGAGAAGGGTCCCAGGTGGGAGTGAGAAAGTGGTGCTGGTGGAGCAAGCAGCACAATGAACTTCTGCAACTGATCCTCCAAAGGCAAGATAAGTTACTGGAGCTTGGGGACATGCATTGGCCCAGAGCTACTGCCCCCCTCTCTAAAAGACAGCCAGCTAGGGTCAGTGTCCCAAATTAGACTCCAGTCCCAGACTGGTGGCCCAGTAACCAGGACTTGGGCCTGGATGAGGCCTGAGAACAACAGGGTTAGTGACATTAACTAAGCCCCCTTCTAGACTGTTAGGATGGTACGAGTTGGCCACCCCACCAATCTTTGCAGCCTGTTCACTTATTCTAATAAAGACCAGCTCTAATAGCAACGGGCGTTTTGAGTTCAAGAAGCATATAGTTAAGAAGATCATCTCAACTACCCCACCCTGGTTGGGGACAGCAGCAGTCATAACTAGATTGGAGGAGGATGAGCATTCACGTGCATTCTTAATTCGTAAATAATTAAGTAGACATTGGCAGAAGAGAATCTACTGTTTTGGCTTGTTTGTTCTGCTTACATTTTTCAGGTGTGCTTTAGAATATGCAATATTCATACAGCATACTAAACGGGAGAGTTTGAAAAGAATGTAAGTAAAAAAAAACCACATGACCGTTTCCAATAATAGATCCTGCCCACCCAACACTGCTCAGTACTATTAGTCTCACATCATTACATATCAATGTTGCTGGTTTGCCAGGGAAACCAGGTGATGTAAGTATACCATCATTTTGGGTAACCATAATATTCAACTGGGCATTTTGCTTGTGCTGTCCCAACAAACTTAATTTCAGTGATCCAAAAGCAGGAGCAAAGTGATTACAGCCTGAATCCAAATTCTTATTATAGAGAATTCTTTCTGCGGCCCATAAACCAGAAACAAATGAAGCAGATAATAACCCATAGCTGTTTCTTTCAATTCAGCAATGAAGCACAATCAGAAACAGTTAAGGCTTGTCCTGTAAGTGCTATCATTAGCTGATTTTAGATTAGTCAGCTACTCAGCTATGAGATGGCTTAAAGTATCAGTTCAGAAGCATTTAATCAGTGAAATCAACGAAAGGAAATCAATGCCATTTTTAAAGGTTAAAGTTGTGCCAGGCTCTCTATAACAGCACTATGAAAGCCTTTGTCACAAAATCTGGTCTTGGATTGGTGTGAACAGAAATGTGTTTTCAATGTAATTATTGCAACAGAAAAATAATCTGGTTATAGTTGTCTTCAGAAATACAGCACAGAGGTCAAAAGTTTAAAATTATTTAGAGATGAAAAGTGCAAAACTAAAAAGTCACAAAGCAAAATACTAGAAAGGTTGATAAGGCTGGACATTGCAAGAGGAAAGAAAAGATATTGATTAAAAGTTTGTCCGAGATACAATCTTGGAGGTTTGCCACTATTTAATAGGAGAGGCACAAGCTAACAAAGACTGAGCCAGGATTCAACTTGGACCTGGAAGGTTTCAGTGAATTATTTACTTATTTTATTGGTTTGGTATTTGATAAAGAACCAAACTTTTATTTTATTGATCAGAGTCCTGTGAACAATCATGGCTTCAGACAGAATAACAATACTTTATCCTCTTGAACTGTCCTTATATATCAAGAAATGCTGGTACTTACCTTTCTTTTGTTTTTGTTTTCCCCTTCAAATAAATATTAAAGGAAAGATTCTAAACAATGCACAGTTTACAAAGTGAACCAGCCTTCTGTGCAGAGATTTTGACCACACACAAAAAACACTGATCTTAAAATGCAGAGATAATGCCATCATCCTTATCCCTGTTCAGAGACGTTTCTGTACACAGAGCAGATTCATATTCCTTTGAACAGTGGAAAATTGAACATACATTTTTCAAAAGTAGAAGAAATGAAGAGAATGGGAAGGACACCACCAGATAACTGAAGAGTTCAATTTGCCTGTATATTGTCAGCAAATTCTGGCTATTGGATGGCTTACAAGTGTAAGACATAAGTAAGTAATTGGACTATGAAGTGACTCAGGTTTGCCAAAATAATTTGTATACTGTATATCTTTTAAACAGCAGCTGGAGGCCACAGCAACTCAGCTGACTCGGGTGAATAAAGGTAAAATCAATTAAGAAAAATATGGCATCAGTACAATCCTATATATCTACACATTAGCAGATGTTATCGGGCAGAACCTGAACAGCTCATTTCATACACAGCATTTTTACAATCTGCACAGAAGGTATTTGAGACCTCCATATGGAAATCTAAGCCCCATTTGTTTAAACGGGATCTCTAGCTCAGACAACGGCAAGCCAGAGATCCTGCAGAGTGCTAGGTCCATGGAATGATACGTTCTGCGATTTCAAACTCAAGTTCTGTCTATTCTATTCAGTTAGGCTTACTTTCCAGTTGGATGGTACAGAATCACAATCTAAACCAAGCAAACAAGTTGAACTGGGCTGTAGATTGTTTTTTAGGTCCTTTACTTGCAAACTAGACATTACTTTTGCTGTATTATAGGAGGTCATACATTTCAACTGGTAATCATCTGAAGTGTCTTAGAAGTAAGAGTCCCTTTGGGAATTAGTCATCTTGATGAGAATAAAGAAAGAGAGTCATATACTTTTTGGAAACCAAACATTTCACTCAAGCGCATGTCATACACTGACATTATAGCATCTGTGTCACAATATTAGGCTTCCTTTTGTCTTCAGTTGAACATTTTAGTAAGAAAAGTAGGTTAAAAAAAGGAATGATATTCATGTAGGTTATTTCCCTTTCCACAGACATTACAGACTTAACATTCTAATGTTTTCAGAAGCCATTAAGTTAAGATAGTGATATTATTTTGAAGCACGTACTTTGTAACATACTGTGGGCATTACCAGAAAGCTAATAGTTGCTACTAGTTCAAACAAGTACTTTCTGATTAAACAAACCAGAATTGTTATAACTATAGTTATTCTCTGACAGCACAATCCTGTGGATATCTACATAACAGAAGTTACTTTCCAGTACATGTAGGATTGCTCAATTCTCAATCAGTAATATGTGTTGCCAGATATAAACTAGAGAAGATATAAACTAGGCAAAATGTTGTATTTACAAATGAATTGTTTACAAAGGATCCAGGATCCAAACACTAACATATTCCTTACTATGATGGCTTACAAGCTTTTTCAGACCATCTCCTGGTGCAGCTCCATACCATTCTGGATCACTAGGCATATAATTAGGAAGGAAGGGTAGAAACTTTTCCCAATAATTTCCAGGACGGGAAATAAGTTAGATTGTTGCCAGATAAATAGTAAAGACTATTAGGGACCCTTAAATACTAACACATTTTATTTGGTATAAACTTTCTTAGACTGTGGCCCACTTCAGATACAAGGAGTGTTAGCCCATAGGAAGACATCTATACACATGATTGAATAGACTGAGGGTGAAAAAGAATGCATATAATACTGACATTGGCATAGGTTGTTTAACAAGAAGTTAAACTTTAACAGGAAGTTGTTGTGGGATGGCACAACAATATTCAGCAGAGATTTGTAGATTCATACATGTATGGTGATGAAAAGTCTATGTTCAATCCAAACAAAAGAAAGAAAGTGTAACTTCTAGATCAGTGGTTCTCAACTTTGGTTCCCCAGATAATGTTGGACTATAGCTCTCTGAAATTTTGGCCAACACAGCTGATGGTGAAGACTTCTGGGAGTTATAGTTTAAATTAGGAACATTGCGTGAGCCAAAGTTGGGAACTACTGTTATAGTTGAGCTTAAGAGGGATGATATAAACAAAATGACCAGAAGGGATAGAAATTAAAAAACTGTAGGGGATAAAAACTGCCTGAACAACTGTCATTAAACTAATAAGTGTTAGGTGCAGATGCAGACATCTTTCAGTAAGTGACTTGAATAATATAACAGTAGCCTTTTGGAGAAAGTGTTGTATAAAGTCACTACAGTCATCACATTGTTGCTGTTACATGCCATCAATTCATCTCTATCTTATGTCGATTCAGTGAACTAATTAATGATCTCCAAAAGATCCTGTTCTCATCAGTGTTGCTGAGATTTTGAAACCTAAAGTCTGTGATTTCTTTTGCTGAATCATTTGTGTTTTTTTTGTAGGCATCCTTCAGTCTCGAGAGACTATGGTATCGTGCTCTGTATGGAGGTCTTGGAACAGTGTCTTGTGTGGCTGAGAAGGCCAATTCGAGAGTGACAATCCCTTCCACACTGGAGACAAATCCAATCTGTCCCCTGTCCAGCTCCCTGGTTTTGCTTGTTTCGGGACTGCCTCTTTGCCTCGGTCTGCTGTACAAGTGTCTCTTCAAATTGGGAGAGGCCATGATGCACCGCCTGCCTCCAGGCTGAACGCTCAGACGTCAAGGTTTCCCATCTGTTGAGGTCCATTCCTAAGGCCTTCAGATCCCGCTTGCAGATGTCCTTGTAACGCAGCTGTGGTCTCCCTCGGGGGCGGCTTCCCTTCACGGTGCATCATGGCCTCTCCCAATTCTCCATACAGGAGATCTTTTGGAATCCGACCATCAGCCATTCTCACGACGTGCCCAAGCCAACGTAGACGGCGCTGTTTCAATATTGTATACATGCTGAAAATTCCAGCTCGTTCTAGGACTACTCTATTTGGAACTTTGTCCTGCCAGGTGATACCAAAAATGCGTCGGAGACAACGCATATGGAAGGTGTTCAGCTTTCTCTCCTGCCGTGCACAAAGGGTCCAGGACTCGCGGCAGTATAGGA